AACTGACAGAGGGACAACCCCAGGAACTGACAGAGGGACAAGCCCAGCCAGCACCATCCTCACTGCAGCGCTTGCAAGGAGCCAGCACGGAGCCAGCACGGAGCAGGGCTTTGGTTCAGGCCTGCCTGCTGCCCGCCCGTGCCAGCCCTGCTGCCCGCAGCTCCGGGCACATCCCGGGGTGGCACTGGTGCATGCAGCACGCCGAGCCGTCCCCGGGAGCTCGGTGTCACCGGGAGCTCGGTGTCACCGGGAGCTCGGTGTCACCGGCACGCTCCGTTCCTCGCGGATCTCCTGCCGTGCTCCAGCGCTCGCCCGTGCTGGGTGCAGCCGGATCTCCTGCCATGTTCGGGGCTCACCTGGATCCACCTGGATCCGCCGCTGCCTCGGGAGGCCCTTCCTGGCGCTGCTTTCCCACGGCCCTGCGGACTCGGCCACGACCGATTCCCACCGTCTCGGTGACAAACGACCTGTCCCCCGCCTGCCCTCCGCGTCCCCCCCGGCGCCCCGGGAGCATCCCCGGGTACCGCGGGAGCATCCCCCCCGCTCCACCTCCACGTTATCCCGGCGCCACGGGACGCGCGGGGACAGCCGTGCCACCCGCTCCCCGGCAGCGCCCGCTCGGGGCGGAGGGGCTCGGCCCCGCTCCCCGCTCCCTCCCCGCTCACCGGGGCAGCGCCGCGACCCCCCCCGCGCGGGGGAACTCACCTTGGCGCGGGTCACCAGGTGCGTGGCGAGCTTCACCACGGCGAAGTTGCCCTTGCCGATGGTGCGCTCGATCTCGTAGTAGCCGATGCGGGCGGGCCCGGGGGGCCGCGGGGGCGGCGGGGCCGGGGAGAGCCGGGGGGCCGCGGGGGGAGCCCCCGCTCCGCCGCCTCCTCCCGCAGCCGCAGCCGCCGCCGCCATCTTGTCGCGCGGAGCGAACCCCCCCGCGGGGCTGCGGCACCGCGTGAGCTCATCCGCGGGGGGGCGCCGGGGGGGGCGGGCGGCTGCCATGGCGACGGGGGCGGCGCTCTGACGTCACCGCCGCGGCCGCGCCGGGCGCCCCCGCGCGGCGGAACGCGGGGGGGGGGGGCGGAGAGAGAAAGGCGGCGGGTTTGGGGAGAAACCCGCGGGAATTGGGAAACTCGTGACGTCACGCCGCCAGGGGCATTCCGCGCAACCCCACTCTCGCATACACGCCTCAGCTCGGGGTGAGAATGACGTCACAGGGCGGTAGAGTGACGTCACGGAGAGGGGCGCTGGGCGCTGCGGTTTTGGGGAGAAAGCAGTGAGATATGGGCGATGAGTCTGACGTCACTGTCCAGCGGTGTCGTGGTCAGACCGCCCCGCCTGGTGCAGCCCCGGGGCCAGAGAGCTGCTTCAGTTTTGGGGCAAACCCCACGGGTAATTGGCAACGTGTTCTTGTGACACCAGAGGAGCCCCCCGCACATGCGGTCCACGCCGCATCTCGGGGGCAGGATGACGTCAGGGGCGGTGGAATGACGTCACGGCGGGAGGTGCCGTGGCTTTAGGGCGCAGACAGGGAGAGGATTCCTGGCGCCATCCCTCCGTCAGGGAGCGGCTCCATCGCCGCCCCCGGGCGGGCTTCCCCTCGGTGCAGCGTGACGTCACGGGAGCGCCGGCGTGACGTCAGGGCGGCGGGCGGGCGTTCGGCGGGGCGGCGGAAGCGGAAGCGGAAGCGGCGCAGGCGCGGGGCCGAGCGGACGGGGCGCGCCCGCCATGGAGTCGCGGGGGAAGGAGCCGCAGCCGCCGTGAGTGCGGGGCCGCCGCGGGCCGGGGCAGCACCGGGAGGGGGCCGCGGGGGACCCGCCCTGCCCTGCCCGCCGTGGCGGGCGCGGGGAGCATCGCTCCGCTGCGCTCCCCGCTGTCGATCCCTCGGGATCCGCAAGGGTGATGGAGGGCTCCCGTGATGGGGGGAGCGGGGAGCTGGGCCGGGTCGGTGCGGGGAAAGGGATGCCGGCAATCCGTGCGGGTGTCTCCAGGGAGCGCCAGGGGATGGTTCCAGACGCTCTTAATGCTGCCCAGCAACAGGACAACCAGCAGTGGCCATAAACTAAAATCCAGACTCCGCCGCAACGTGGGGAGCAACTTCTTCCCATGGGGGGCGGCAGAGCATGGAGCAGCTGCCCAGGGACGTCGGGGATCTTCCTCTCTGGACGTTCCAAACCCACCTGGACGCATTCCTGTGTCGCCTGCTCCAGGTGACCCCGCCTTGGCAGGGCTGGATGATCTCCTGAGGTCCCTCCTGATCTGTAACAGTTCTGGGATCCTGGGATCAATCCCACCACGCTGTGCTGCTCCCAAAGGCAGATTATCCACCTGGGCTGTGCAGCTCAGCAGCTGTAAGCTGGATCTCTGGGCGCTAATAGGGACTTATCCCGCGGTCTCAGCCCTTGTTGCTGAGCTGTTAAAGCCCTCCCGGCTCAGGTGTGGGGCTGCAGAGCATCCTCGGAGCTGAGTTTTGTTCCTCGGGTTGGGGCCTGGCTCCGGGGAATGTCTGCTGCAGAGTCACTCTGGCGTGGAGCAGCATCCGTGCTGTTCTCAGCAGCTGCCAGCAGGCACGGGAGCGGGCAGGAGCTGCGGGGCAGCGAGTTCCAGCAGCCCTGTCCCAGCCCTGCCGCTGTGGGAGCTGCTGCAGCAGTGGCTGTGAGCTGTTCTTTCCACAGGAACAGAATGGGCATGGGGGACTCCAACCCGGCAGCAGTGCCACACGCCGCCGAGGACATTCAGGGAGATGACAGGTGGATGTCACAGGTAAGGCTGCAGGTGGAGCCTCGTTCCTGGGGGGATGTTGGGCCAGTGCTGCCCAGGCCACGTTTGGGACCCTGAGGTCACGAGAGCCTGGAGCTGGCAGCTGTCACACCTGTGTGTCCTGCCACGATGGGGCAAAGGAAGAGAAGTTTGGAATCTCTTTCTGGTGAGGAGTGACTGCACAGCTGAGCTGGGTTAGTCCTGAGAAGACTGAGAGGGGATGCCATCGATCCATACCAAATCTCCTGAAGATGGGGCCTGACTCAGCTCAGTGATGCTCAGTGACAGGACCACGAGCAGTGGCCATAAACCATAAACTAAACCACGCCAAGTTTCACCCAACCCGGGATCCTCACGGGGCTGTGGAGTTGGGAGCAGTGTCCAGCAGCGCCGCAGGGGAAGCTGGCTGGGCAGCTGTCCCTGTCCTGCAGCAGGGCTGGGTGCCCAGGAGCAGCTGGCACCTGGAGCTCACCTTGTCGCTCTCTTTGACAGCACAATCGGTTTGTCCTGGACTGCAAGGACAAGGAGCCCGACGTGCTCTTCGTGGGGGACTCCATGGTGCAGTTGCTACAGCAGTACGAGGTAGGGATGAAGGCAGGGAGGGAGGGAAGGGTGGGCTGGAGCAATTGGAGCATCTCTCTCTAACCCAGTGGCTGATGTGTAATGCTGGTGACTTCCACTGTTCTCGTTTTCACTGCTGTCTCCTGAGCCCTTCCTGCCCTGCTTCCTGAGCTCCCCAGTGCCTGGACCCCGCTTTACTGGCTGCCTCTGCCTCCCTCCCTGAGGCCACGCTGACTCCCTGCTTTTTGGCACACGTGCACAGCCCCTCAGCTCTCAGATTCCAGCCTCCTGAGGGCCATCGGGTTCCCTGTGGCTGTACCTGTGCCAGAACACACTTAGCCTGTAGAATTCGGGGTGCCAGAGGCATTGGTCCACTGCTTCTTCCCTAAAATGATTGATGGAAAGAAGAGTTCTCTTCTGCCGTGGTGGCAGCTGAGCAGCGTTGTTCTGCAAGAGCTGCTTCCCTTTGTTCTAGTTTTGTTACCTGGGGATGAGAAGGATTTAATCAGGTCATAGACTCCTTCTTCAAAGGCCCTGTGCTTAGGGACACCGTGGTGTGCAATAGATCAGCACTCTGGGGCTCTGATGAGTTCAGCAAATCACTGCTCCAGAGATCTTTCCTTCCTTTGTGCCACGTCTGAGAGCTCGAACCTCAGCAGCTCCATCTCTTCTGACCCCAAATAAAGCCTCATTCCTTGTCTAAGTGCCCTTTGTGGAGGGAGTTTTCAGAGAAGGGCTCGTGGCTGCCCTCAGTGACCCCGAGGACACCGTGTGGTGCCTCTGCCTCACAGGCAGGATGCTGCTCTGAAGCTGCACGTTGGTTTCTGCCTGCAGATCTGGCGAGAGCTCTTCTCACCGCTCCATGCACTGAATTTTGGGATTGGTGGAGACACCACGGGACACGTTCTATGGAGACTGAAGAACGGTGAACTGGAGAACATTAAACCCAAGGTAGGATCTGCAGAGTTTGTGAGGGTATCCAGGTGTGCAGTGAAGGTCACCTGCAGCTGCAGGCCTGGCACAAGTGCCTGTCCTGAGGGCAGTGGGCAGTGCCAGCCCCAGGGCTGAACTCTTAAGCCTGACTCTCCCTGCAGCTCCCTGGCCACAGATGATGTTTATGCAGGGATTTCAGGGTCATCAGCCCTGTCACCACTTGCTCTGGAAAAGCTGCAAACATTTTCCTCTCCTTGCAGGTCATTGTTGTTTGGGTTGGAACAAATAACCATGAAAACACAGCAGAAGAAGTCGCAGGGGGAATCGAGGCCATCGTGCGCCTGATAAACACCCAGCAGCCACAGGCCAAAGTGATTGTGCTGGTATGTCCCTGCTCCCTGGGCTCTCCTCTGCCTTACTGGGAGTCCCTGGGCAGTGCTGGGAGGGCAATATCCTGATCTGTCCTCTGCTTTGTGCCTCCTCTTGCTGGCTTGGCTTTGCAGGAGCCCTCCTTTGGCCCTTCCAGAGCTGGGTGGACTCATTCCGAGTAATATCCCACTTATTAATGCTGCTGAGGAAGTCCTGTGAGGGGAAAATAGGTGCCCAAATGCCAGCTGGCTTTGGGAATCCTAGTTGGCTTTCTTGTCCTAAGGAAGTTGCTGCCTGTCTTGCTGAGGAGTTGAAAGTGTATGGAAAGAGCACAAGCTGATACATTTAAAAAATAAAAGAAAGCACTTTCCCTGCCAGTCAGTGCTTGTAGCTCATCTGGCTCCTTCACTTGCATTTCCCATTAGGCCCGAATGGACAAATTCTGATTCAAGGGATGAGTTCCCCTTGTCACAGACATCCTAGATCTTGACGGGCAGCCCGAATTGGAAGGGAAAGCAGGGCTCCTGATTGCATCAGAGTCACAGTCACACAAAGCTCTTTTCTGCCTCCTGTCGTGCCAGGGCCTGCTACCTCGTGGAGAGAAGCCAAACCCGCTGCGGCAGAAGAACGCCAAGGTGAACCACCTGCTGAAAGCCTCGCTCCCCAAACTGCCCAACGTGCAGCTGCTGGACGTGGACGTGGGCTTCGTGCACTCGGATGGCACCATCTCCTACCACGACATGTTCGACTTCCTGCACCTGACGGGCGGGGGCTACGCCAAGGTCTGCAAGCCCCTCCACGAACTGATCATGCAGCTGCTGGAGGAGACCCCTGAGGAGAAACGAGCTGCCCTGGCCTGAGTCGCTGCTGTCAGCGTGGAGAGCATCATCCAGCCCATCAGATCAGTTCTGTCACTGGCACTACAGAATCCTTCTTTCTTAAAGCACTTTCCATTGTAGAATGTTACCGGATATCCGTACCTAGTGTTTTGAGGGGGAAGGCTCATCTTTAACTGGTCTTGTACATACGAGGGCCGGCTGGGTTGGTTTTATTGCAGGAGGAAATTAGCTGGAGAAGAGTTTTACTTTTAAACCATTCCTCATTTAAAACGAGAACAGGACTGTCACTCTGTGCCCCTCTCATGTCTTGTTGCCCTGTGGTTGTCCTAGCCCCCTCGTAGCCTGTCCGACAGCCCGCTCCTGGC